GTGGGGGTCGAGCCCCTGGGAGAGTTGGCTTGACCCCAGTGCTCCAACAGGCAGTGATTCCCCAAGTGAGGGGTTATCCAGGCACCCCTTTCTTGAGCCCTCCTCCTCCTGCCTTAGCCCTATGACATACTGGCATTGCCCGGGACCCGTTGGATCCCAGGAACCTCCTAAATGCTCCTTCCTAGTGGAGCTGGTTGGAAGAAGAGACTGGATGGGATCAGAGCTGGTTCTTTCCTGAAGGATCAAATGCCCCTTGTCAAACTAAAACTTGACCCATTTCCTAGAACCTGTTTCAAGTCACAAAGACCCACCCCAGACTTTCCTGTAGGGAAGGAATCTGTGACAAAAGTGGGACAGGCTGAGCAGGGCAGAAAAAGGGAGACAGATGCTCTGAGTCATCTAGCACTGTCCCTGCCCACAGCCTGGCATCACTGCAGGGCCACTCCCGTCTCAGCCATTTCACCCATGAATCCGGCTGGCCCAAAGGACACGGGACAACCAGGAGCCCTCTTCTGTAGCCACTGCCACTTTTACCTGGGTGAGAGGTTATGTGAGGTGGCCCCATGCACAGAAGTGAGAACCCAGAAGGACACAGTTCCTTCTTAGCCCATTGTCTTGCCTCAAAGGGCAGATCTCTCCCAGCCCAGGAAAGGCCAGGAGTCACAGTCCTCTTCTGGGACAAGCTAACTCCAGAGTGGCATCTGAGGGCAGCCCTGCATCTAGAGTGTTGAGAAGTAAACTCTTAAATTCAGCCTCCCCATCATACATACACAGCAGCCTTATACAACTGCACCCTCGTGGGGGAAAATCTACGTGGGATTAATAACTTATTTACTATAAAAAGTTAAAAGAGTTAATTCCCCAAGATCAATTTTGGGGAAGTTACCTTCCATAAGACAGGTGGAACAGCAGAGTGCCCAACTCCTGGGCAATTTACAGCTAGGGACTGCCAGCAGGTCAGTTCTAGTTTCCAGCACATTGGCCCCTCCTCTGTCTAGACCATCCCCTGTGCTGACCTCCTCAGAGGCAAGGGACACTGAGGCCTGTAGTTACCCAGGGTATCCGCTCTTCAGGCAGCTCCCACCTTCTCCCAGTGCCTCCTGGGTCCCTCAAGGCAGGAGGGTGTTGACAGCCCCCACTTCTGAGAGTGAGTCAGTGCCACGTCAGCAAAGATCTATGCTACCAGTGGGTCACTGATACTCCTCCATTACAAATAGTTTTCACACCATCCAGAAGACAACTGCTTTAGAGGTGAGTACACCACGAGCTAAAAACACCCTTTACAAGCCGGTTTCCTTCCTGTCCTCCCAATTAGGGTCAGAGTCCAGAGCCCTTTGGCCTGCTTTTAGAGGTATGGGAGGCACATGCACTCCCCAGTCCTAATGGACTGGAAGAGAACTTCATCCTAAAGAGGAAGCTGAGCCTGGCCACCTCCTCACTCTCCTGCCTGCACAAATGTGTCTCCTCTACAAATGCAAGAACAGAAGTTCAGTATTGCTTACTCCCTTCCCTAACCCAAGTTTTCCCTGGAGATTCTTCCTCTCCTTTCCTTGGGAAGAGGATGCAGGACTCTGGCTGCAGCCTGGGGAGGATCTTTGGCAGACAAAGAGACCCTTTGGGCAGGGATGGCCTTATGCACCCCAGCTTTGGTACGAACAGAATCCACTCAGACCCAGCCTCTTCACAGTTACCCTGGTAGCTCTCCCTGTCTAGGTCTAAGACACAGCAGCACTTGGAGACAGGTTAGAGAGGAGGCAGAAAAAGAGCCTTCCCCATACCCCTACCCCATCATCTCCTTCCTCCTATCAGACATGGAACCAGGGCTTCTTGGCCATATCCCAGGAAGCCTCACCCTTCACCCTGATGGAGGGCTGGATGTGGTGTTCCTGAACCAGACTTCAGGACTCCCAGCAGCCATCTCAGGACCTAACCCAGGAACTGGTCCCCCTAACAGGGTTCCGAGTGGCTGGAAGAAGCCCCAGACAGATAAAGGTAAGAAGTAAAGCAGAGGCAGCTGGGGTGCCCAGGGCAGACCACTACCCAGAGGGTAGTGCACTTGCAGAGCACACAGAAAGGCAGGGAGGCTCAGGGGTGAGTATTGCTTGTACAGAGCTGGTAACAGTGGCACCCTCAAATGCAGAGCCAGGCTGCTCATGGAGCTAGAAGGCTGGAGCCCGAGTATGTCAGAACTCCAGATGGAAACTTATGTCTGTAAATGAGCAAAGATGACAGAGCCGGGGAAGAACAGCTTCATGAGCCAAACCCCAGGTCAGACAGGATTCTTAACGGTGGCAAAGAACAAGTCAGCCTTGGCCCTCCTTACTCTACCAAACAGCCCTGTCCATGACACCTCTTACCAAGTTATACCCTCTTGGGGGTAAGCCCAGAGGACAGGGGAGTGCCATCTTCTTCGAGAGACAACAACCCATCTGAGGCAACCTCCTGCACCCACTGGGAAAGCGCCTTTGGATGTTGAGGGAGAAGAGGCCCCGGAACTTCCCTTTAGGGTGTCTAGTCAGCACCCCTGAACTCAGTCTTGCCTATAAGGAGGTAGTACCAGCCAGTCCCAGGGAGAAACTCTCAAAGCCCCTACTCCCCAGACACATCATTTATCTTCGCAGGGCCCTGGTCTGGGCAGTGAGTGAGCATGCCACATGCTGTGGAGTGCATTCAGTGGAACAGCCACCAGAGTGGCTTGGGGAAAGAGAAGAAAAGGGGGTTCCCAGAGGGGCCCAGGTGTGGTCAGCTGCAATGGATGCTACATTCCTCAAAAAAGAGCAGCAATGCTGGGAGAGGCAAAGAGAAGAACAAAAGACGAGACAGGAAACCAAGCAGAGACTACCATAAGATGCCCAGGCAGGAACCAGGCAGGGAGGACCAGTGGTCACATCCCCCACTTCCACCCCTGGAGTCTCTGGGGGTGAGATGTATCCACATGACATTCCTTTGGGTTTCTTTTCAGCAAGATACAGACACACGGATTGTAGGCCATGTGGTCACCAGGACTGACCACACCCAGACAAGTGAACAGATATAATGTAGTCACACACAGACACACACACACACAGACACACACTACAGTCTCCACTGCCAGCTGGGACAAGCCCAGTAGCCAACAGGCATGCAGCAGGACGAGGGGTCCAGAAAGACATGGAGACTATGTACAGAGGGGCAGTGGGGCCAACAGGCTCCCTCCCCACACCAGCCCCCAGCCTCTTGTCCTCAGTGAGGTCCTTAGGAGCATGAGGGGCTGGTGGCACTCTCCAGAGAGGACTGGGACAGGCGCCTGGTGAGGGATCCAAGTGTGGAGTCAGCCACAGAGGATGTAGGGAAGAGTTTGTACCAGCCAGTGACTGCAGCGCTCAGGTCTAGCTCGTCCAGCATGATCTGGGCCATGCCCATGAAGCACTTGTGGTCCATACGACCATAGTCTCCCCAGACGATCACCTGGCAGCAGGGGGAGGAAGAGAGGCACTGAGCCACTTCCCCAGCTCCAGGACTGGGCAATGGGCCCAGGAACCTCTGAGCTTTTCCAAGGCACAGATGGGACAGTCAGAATTCAAACTGATTTGGGCATGTACTTTCTGAGCACCTAGGACATGGCACTTTGTATCCTATGGGTGACATACATCATTTCAATTGTTAAAACAATCTGTGTGGGCAGGGGTGCTGTGTTGAATTTTTTCTAGTCAGAGGAAACTCACAGAAGAGCTAATTAACTGACCCAGTGATCCACAGTGATCTGTGGCAGAAGGATTAGAACCTGGGTGTCTTGTTCCAGGACACGTGCTTAATCACTGAGCCATCTCTCTAGTCCCCAAACTCTCCTTTAATCTCCACACATAGCACCCACAGTTAGTGAGTGTCAGGTTGGAGTTCAAATCCAGGACTGAGCCAAGAGAGAATTACCAGTGTGTTGTAGGTTCATGTGAGTTCAAGTTCTTCATCTATGGAAGGGGCTGTTAGAACAGGCCACCAAGTAAAAAGGCATTTCATTCTCAAGGACTCAGATGAGAGTCACCTAGACTTGCTCTCTCCTCCACTCTGCTAATCACTCAGCTGAGCAGTCACTTCATCTTTCCGAAACCCTGCCTCCCATTTGCAAAATGAGGACAATCACACCTCCTTCACAGGATCATTTCTAAGAAATACATAGATCATTCTAGAAAATGTCTAGCAAAACCCAGCCTCCAGAGAAGCATAATGAACTTAGCACATATAGGAAAGCAGAGGTGGTCAGTGAATAAATCCTGGTTCTCTCGAACAGCTGTGCAGACTGGGGAGCTGTTTCACTTCCATCTTAGTTTCCTTGTGAATCAATAGGAAATAAGAACAAGGGTTGTAGGGCAAGAGAGATGTTCCAGTGGTTAAGAGCGCTAGCTGCACTTGCAGAAGACCTGGGTTCAGTTCCCAGTACCCACATGGTGGCTAACAACTATCCATAACTCCCGGTCCAGGGGAATCTGACACCCTCTTCTGACCTCTGCCCACATTGCACAACACGGGTGTAATTACATACATGCAGGCAATACATTCATACACGTAAAATAAAAATAAATAAATAAATAAAAATGTTTGGGTCTTTTTGAGACAGGGTCTCCCTATAGGTCCAGCTGGCCTGGAACTCGCTATGTAGATCAGGCTGGCCTCAAACTCACAGAAATTCGCCTGCCTCTGCCTCCCAAGTGCCAGGATTAAAGGCATGCACCACCATGCCAAGCTAATAAATCAAAATTTTTAAAAAAGAACATGGGTTATGAAAATAAATGGTAATATAGGAAAAGAAGAGAAGGGAGGGAAAGAAGGAGGGAGGGAAGGAAGAGAAAGAGGGAGGGAAGAAAGGGGCTGGTGAGGTGGCTCAGTAGGTAAAGCACTTGCTATGCAAGCCTAAGGACCTCAGTTTGACTCCTAGAGCCCATGTAAAGGTAGAAGGAGAGAACTGATTCCACGAAGTTGTCCTCTGACCTCCAAATGTGTGCACAAGCATATAATAATAAATAAGAAGGAAGGAAAGAAAGCAAGACAGACAATGTAAATTGCTGCACCCAATTCACTGCTTGACACAGGATGGAGCATAAGTTTGAAAAAAAACTTAGAAATTGGGGGCTGGAGAGATGACTCAGCGATTAAGAGCACTGGCTGCTCTTGCAGAGGACCCAGGTTCAGTTCCCAGCACCCACATAGCAGCTAACATCCATTTGTAAGCTCCAGGGGATCCAATACCTTTTTCTGGTCTCTATGGGCATATGTGCAAGCAAAACACTCATACATATAAAATGAAAATAAGTAATAATTTTTAAAGCGCACATTTTTTTTTAAATTGAGAAATGATGTCTTCTGGTACTCAAGAGACTGCCCTAAATACTGACCTGAAGCACCTTGCCTTGGGGCCCCTCGTCAAAGAGCAGCGCCTGCTGGTACAGGGGATCACAAGTCTTCTTGGCCACCCTTGTTTTCTTCTTGGCTATACATGCCCCATTCTCCAGCAGGTAAGCCTTGATATAGGGGGCTGAAAATTAAGCAGCATGTGATTGGTGGCATGTCACAGCTTGCCTCGTCCCCACCCTCCAGACAGTCCTTGAGGGGAGCAGGGAAAGTGGGATGTGCTGATTAGTGAGTCCAGCAGGCAGGACAGACTGTCAAACACTGACCCCATCCCTTCTTCCCCTGTTCCACACCTTGCTCACTTGTCTTTCAGGCAAGGTGTGACCCTTGGTCAAGAACATTGATTTAAGCCCCTGGGAAGCTGAGAGTTGCCAGTACCCTTCCCTGTCAGGATCATTCCTCGAATCTCCCACTACTCCACCTCACCTGGGAGGGATTTGGAGCCTGGTTTGGGGGTCAGACCCCGAGCTTCAATTATTTCTACCTCCAGCTGGCCACTCCGGTCCATGATGGCAATATGCACATCTCCTGCAAGGGAGAAAAATGGGGTCCATGTGGAGTGCAACTGGGCAGACCAGCTGGCTGCTCCAGAGAATGCCGGTCTTCAGAGGATGCTGCTGTGTCCCCAGAAAGGAGTATGATGGGGTAAACTGCATGCTCTTGGGAGACCGCTTCAAAGGGATTAAGAAGCACTGACTGGCTATGGGGGCATAACCCTCAGGGGAACATGCTTAGATCACAACAAATGGCTGCCAAACTCCCCACTAGGTCTGGTGGATGAGGAGGCTTTTGCTTCACTAAGTAGGGGACAGAGCTTCCTGTTGAGAAAGCCGTAAGCTCCAGCCCTTCATCTTCCTCTACAGGGCAGCCCTCAGCCACTCTCCTTAGTATATGTCAGACAGATACTGAAAGTGAAAAGAGATGGTAAGCTGTGAGCCTGCCTGGGACACACAGGGGGCCCAACTGATCCTTGGCAAAGGAGCAGGGCAGACTGGCACTGCCTGGGTGTTGAAAGCTGAGTTTGTGGCTCCCACTGGACAGGTTTTTCCATGAGAGTAAGGAGTGTAGAGTCAGGCTGATTTCTAGAAACTCTTAGCTTTTCTCATCCCGAGTAAGCAGAATTTAGAATTATGTGATAATCACTGGGACAGCCTTCAGAGGGATAGAGAATTCTAATCCTGATCCAAGAAAAATTAAATGGGCCAGACTTTGGGTTTAGTCAACCATGTTAGATACTCTTAGCCATCCTGGAATTTCTCGTATTTGCATACTGTGGAAACAGGGATTCACTATGTTCAGAGACACCCTGAAATCCATTCTATTCCCTCCAGCAATTCTTGACCTTTTCAAGGAAGGTCTCTCAATTGATCGCCTCAATAACAACATCCCTACCAATGTATTCCTGTCTTTCCCAGTTGTGGACACAAGGGGGCACCACATATAAATGTTCTAGGCTGTCATTAAAGACTATGAAAGTGTCTGGTTCTTGGAGGGCAGGGAGGGTGCTGAACAGGCTTCAGGCCCTTAAGTGCCTGAAAGCAAAAGCTGGGAATTAAGCAAATTGATATCCAAGGCCAGAAGAAAGCCTGTGGGCCCCTCTTTCCTAGAGGGCTCCCAGGTGGGCCTGTCTAAGGAAGACAGGATGGTGCCTAGAAAGAGTTCCCAACTGGCATAGGATCCCAGCTCCATTGTCTGCGCTTGCCTTCCTCTTCTGCCAGACTCAAAGGTCAAGCACTATCTGGACGGGGCTGAGTAGGGATGTCTAGACCAGGCAATGCTCAGGTCAAACTGTTGGGGAAAGGAGTGAAGGTAAGGTTGGGTCTGTGGGGAACCTAGCCTAGAGAGCAGGCAATTCTAAAAGGACAGGGGTGTGGGGGTGGGGATAGGGAAGAGACCTGAGAGCTCAAAGGATGAGCCAGCTAAGAGAACCCAGTGCAGGCTTTGAAAAGTGCTTCCTAACTGCAAGGAAGAGGGATGAGAAAATTACTAAAGGTCTCTAGGTACCAGATACTGTTAAGAGCAGCAAGTCCAATTAGCCACAGTTCCTAAGGAGAACATTAAAATGTTTTATGCAAAGTGTCTTACGGGAGCTCAAAGGGTGGTGTTAGACTACAGAATGAAAGTGGAGATTACCATTTCTATTTTACAGCTGAGGAAACTGAGGCCAAAAAAGGGGAAGCAATTGATTTGTCCAAAGTCACATTGAATCAGTAAATCAAGAGTAGCCAGTGCTGTGTTTTTGTTTACATAGCAGGTAGTGAGTGTGCAGAGAGGGAGGGAACAATCTGTGAAATCTGCCGCAGGACAGTGAGTAGAGGGAGGCCTGGACCCCTGTCATCTTCCCTGGCACAAAAAGCCCAGAGGAGGGCTCCTTCTGCTGCCTGTGCTACCACACATAGGGCCCTCTTGAGCTCACTCTTCTGTGGACCCCACGACTCCACTTGCCCTTCCTCAGAAAGACTTACCCATGGGGGGTGTTGCCAGTGTCTGTCGCCCCACTATCTGGGCTGGCCCCAAGCCATCCAGAAAATCACTGAACTGGCTTTCTGCTCCAAGCCTCGTGGTGGGGAAGATGAACCTGCAGGAGGAAGCAGAGGGCATGTGAGGGTATCATATGGCCTTGGGCTAGGAGTGGGGATGGAAGCAGGAACCTTGCCCCTGAAGTGTTGTTCCTCAGTTTCTCCTCTATATAGTGACAATACACTACCCTGACATAAACTTTCTCATTTCTATACTTGAAGAAAAATACTTTGGGCATTGAGACAGAGTTTTGTTATATACTTCTGGCTAACTAGAAGTCAGTATGTAGCCCAGGCTGGCCTCAGTCTCATGATATTCCTCCCTTAGCCTCTCAAATGCTGGGATAACAAGTGTGTGCTACCATGTCTGGCTTAGAGAAAAATATTTTGATGGCATTAAAACGATTAACAAAGATATGTAACTATTTAATCTTTAAGTCCCATTGATTTCTTTTTTACCTTTTTTGAGACAGGGTCTAGGGTATCCCAAGCTGGTCTTGAACTCATTTTGTAGCTGAGGATGACACTGAATTCTTGACCGTCCTGCCTCCACCTCCTCCTGAGTACTGGGATTACAGGCCTGTACCACCATGCTCAGTTTATGCAGTGCTAGGAATTGAACCCAGGGCTTCATGGCAAACACTCCATCAACTAAGCTACATTCCAGCCCATGCCCCAGAGATTTCAGAGGTAACCCTTAGAAGGCAGGGCTTGTTGGATACCCATGTCCTCACAAGAGCATGCCAATGTCAAGAATGAGAGAGAAGTTACTTTAAAGTACCTGGAACAGGTTCCAAGAACTGAGGTTTGACTTGACCATAAATTTAAAACCCAAGTCAGTAAGGTGATGTGGTGCCTCAAAATAACTCAATTACAGGGTTGAGATGAATGGCAGGTGATTGTGGGTGGTCTATGCCTTCAGGGTAGGGAGCTAGAAATGGTAACAAGAAAAACTGACAGTGATTGAAAGCTGGTCAACTGCTGGCAATGCAATGAATTTTCCACGTGTATTATATTACTCCCTACAACCACTCTGGATGGTAGGAACCATTACCCAATTTTACAGAAGAAACAGAGGTTCTGAGAATCAAGGGACTCGCCATCTCTGCAAAACAGAGATGACACCCAGCTCACTGGGGTACGGTGCAGACTGGGACAGTTGGTGCAGGGAAAGTTCTGGACACACAGGAAACAACAAATGGCTGTTATTGCAACTGCTGTCAGCATGTCCTCAAGCCCAGATGTCCTGGGTATGGCCAGCAGGGACAAGACAGAGAGAGGGTTGGCTGAGGGTTGCTCAGGGGCCACAATGGACCAAAGTACTAAGATCTCCTGGCTACAGCCGTGAAACACTGGTCTAGAAAAAATCCCTGTTGACAGTTTGGTGTGGGGGCCATTGCCAGCAATAGGCAGGGAGGAATATACTTGTCAGAGAACCTGCCTCTCTCCACTCCAAGGAAGAGCCTTCACAGTGCATACTTTTAGTGACCATAATCAACAACAACCTAAAGTCACATTCTTTTGTGTGTGTGTGTGTGTGTGTGTGTATGTGCACGCGCGCATGTGCATGTGTGTGTACATGCATGTATGTGAGGGTCAGAGGTCAACTCTGGGTGTCTTCATCACTCTCCATCTTATCTCAAAATATTTTATTATTATTATCATTATTATTATCATTGGTCTTTTTGAAATAGGGTCTCCCTGTAGCCCCAGCTGGCCTGGAACTCCCTATGTAGATCAGGCTAGCCTTGAACTCACAGAGATCCCTCTGCCTCTGCCTCCCAAGTGCTGAGATTAAAGGTGTGCGCCATCATGCCCAGCCTTATTATTTTTATGTGTATGAGTGTACTGCCAACACATATGTAAGTGCACTTGTGTTGTGCGATGCCCAAGAAAGTCAGAAGAGGGCATTAGATTCCCTGTATCTGGAATTATGAATAGTTGTTAGTCACCATGTGGGTGCTGGGAACCAAACCTGAGTCGTTTGCAAGAGCAACCAGTGGTCTTAACTGCTGAGCCATCTCTCCAGACCCTCCACCTTATTTTTTGAGATGGGGTCTCTCATTGAATTTGGAGCTTGCAGATTTGATTATACTGGCTGGCCAGTATACAGTCTCCACCTCCCCAGTGCAGGACGTGTCACAAGCTGCTACAACCAGCTTTTACACGAACACTGGGGCTCTAAACTCAGGTCTTCATGCTTGTATGGCAAGTACTTACTGACTCAGTCATCTTCGCAGACCCCTCATTTTTTTTTCTTTTCTTTTTTCCAGGCTAGCTTGGAATTCACTATGTAGCCAAGTCTCTAACCTTGAACTCTTAGTTCTTCTGCCCTCACCTCCCAAGTGCTGGGATTACAGGTGTAAACTCTCATGCCCAGCCCTAGTGTTACATTCTTATGACAATGAGACTAGAGAAGAAACAAAAAGTGCAAACTCGAAGTCTCAGAGTTTGGGGGGCTTAACGTAGACAATGTAGAGATTGTGAATAAAGATTAGAGAATCAAGGGGCCTTAGTGTAAATGTGACTCAGGCACTACCTAAGAGTTGTAACTGTGGATAAGGTGCTTCTCTTCCCAGGGTGTCAGTTTCCCCATTTGTACATGGAGATACTAGTGGTAGCCACATCCCCTCAGGATACTTTTGAGTGTTAATGATCACTGATCACAGCATGTGGCTTCCCGAGTAGGAGGAGTCACTGGTCTGGGGCACCCAGGGATGCTCTGTACAAGGTATGATGCAGTAAATGCTATTAGCTACTCAGTTTCCATGGAAGAAGGTACAGTTGACCATCTGTATCCGTGAATTCAACTGACTACAGATTGAAAATATGAAGGAAAAAAGGTTGTGCCTATACTGAGTGTATACAGATTTTTTTTCTTATAATTATTCATTAAACAATACAGTTTAAGCTGGGAATGGTGGTGCATATCTGTAATCCCAATGCTCAGGAGGCTAAAGTAGGAGAATTCTGAGTTCAAAGTTAGTCTGGGCTACTACACAGTGAGACCAGATCTTTTTTAAAAAAAAAATTAGTCTAACAAGGATCACTACTGAATTTATACAGAGGATCTGAAGTATTCAGAAGGTTGTGTGCAGGTTATACACAAATATTATACCATTTTATTATATGAGAGATTTTAGAAGTTGTGGGTTTTGGATCTGTGGGGAGGTCTTAGAACCAATCCCTTCCCCAAGGATGCTACTGTATAGTGAGAGACATGATCACTGAATATTAAATAAGGGAGCCATAGAATCCTGATACTGAAATTATAGGACCTTGATCAAACAGAAGCAAAAAATCCATAAACCCCAGCTCCACCAATTCAGAGCAGATCTATGGAATACCAAATCAGTGACTTTAATGTTTACTTCCACCCACATCTAAGAAAAGGATTTGATAACACCAAGACCTACTACAAATCCATGTGTACCTCCAAATGAAAAACTGAAAACAGAAGTTCACTAGAAGTTCCTTGATACACAGTCTATACCTGAGTTTTTCTATTTCTTCTCTAATGCTGCTTTTGACCCATTACAATTTTACTTCCTGCCTGAGTCACAAGGTAAGATATATAAGATATAACAGCTTTAAAAACATGATTTTCTTCCTTCCCTAAACTCCAAGCAAGGTGACTTATGAACACTTCACTCAACAAAGCCATGACGATAGGCTTAGGCTTTAAAGGAATTTAGGGTCACATTTTCCTTTCTGCCTGTCTCCTCTGGAACAAGGCACTGGGGTGGGTGATGGGAGGCAGGAGGCCCAGGTTCACAGAAAGAATAAAGTGTTCCAGGGTCTCTGAGATATTCCAATGGGAGGAAAAGAAGTCCTGGGGCCCAGGCACCAGGTGTTTAGGGGAGCAGACAAGGGAGGCCAAGGTATAGAGGAACGCAGACATCTTAGCTGGAAACCAAACGGCAGGTGCACGCACGTGCCGTCAGAGCTGTTGCTGTTGGTGCTCCCATCGGTGGACTCCCGGCTGCCCTGGCGTGTGACTCTACTCCGCATCTCCACTGCAATGCCAGTCTCTGTGCTCCGACGGATGTTGCTGCGCAGCTTCTTAGTGGCCCCTTCTGAGATCCCCACCCCAAGAAAAGAGAGGGAACAAGGTCAAACCATGGCCAAGGTTTCTCAGAGTGCTTCCAAAGTGACCCTCCAAGTAGGGGCAGGCAGGGTACTGACCAGGCTGGGACATTACTGAGCTGACCCCCAGAGTTGGTCTGTAGCCTGACACCTGGCCCAGCCCACTCACAGCAGAGGCAGACAAAGCCAACATGCTGTGCACTGAACAGAAATGCAGTTGAGGACAGAGGAGCCCTGCAGCCCTGGGGCCCTAATCCTCCTACCAGGTACCCTGACTCTGTCTTCCCATTGTATTTCAGACCCTGTCTCCAAATTTAAGAGTTCTTCCTCCCTCTCTCCCAGATTTACTTTCTCTTTTCTGAGTATCCTCAGTTACTGCAACCCACCCAGACCCACAACCCACCTCTCTCATGCCTCCACTGGCCATATAAAAACCTAATTAGAAGCCCAGCTATTTGAACAAACTCTCTTTCTCAAGGTGGCCAGAGACCCGTGGGAGGCAAGTCTGCGGGAGGAACAGCTAGCTTGACCTGTATCCACTTTGGATTTGAGAAGTCAGCAGCAGAGCCCTCTGCCACCTACCCCTACCACCACCGTGTCTCTGCACCTCCTGCTCAGAGGCTCCTTGCCCCCTCCTCAGCCTGGCAGGGAACACAGGGCACTTCCCCTCTCTAAGCAGTACACTAGCCTGCCTGTGTTTCCATGGCAACCTCCTTAGCATTGCAGCATGGTCCCTCTAGGCAGAGCTCCTCCTGGGTGGAGGTGGGGGAGACAGGTTGGGGTTTGTAGGGACTCCCCAACTGAAACTCCCTTGCCGAGGATCTTGATAAGGAGGGAAGTAATATCCAAATAAGGGCTTGCCAAACAAGCCATTTGCTGCCACTGGTTACAGGAGCAAGCAAACTGCCTAGTGGCATTGACCAAAAGAGTGGGGAGTGGCCTAGTGCAAGGTAGCAGTACAGTCCTGAAAGCAGTGTGGGAGAGAAGCTGGTTATCCAGCAACCTTCTCTCCTACCCAGAGCCAATGGTGGGCTGGGGAGGGAATATTCTAGGACGGGAGGACTTGATTCCCCAGCTTTGCCCTACTAATCTTTCAGGAAGTCCCCACTGGAGGAGGGAAGGCCACAGGGCAAACACCACCATCAGATGGCATGCTGGTAGAGGAGAGGTGATAAAACAGGGACAGAGTGAAGAACAACATTTTCTTTAAAATCTGCTCAGCTTCCACACTCAGAATAGCCAGCACATCCAGGGATCAATAAACCATTGATATGTCTGTCTCATGCACACAGTCTTTTTAGTTCCCACATATTTCTTTCCCACAGACAGGCATAAGGTAGATACACATGAGTGCTGACAATCACATATATGAATACAGTCACCTCATATATAATGTCTTTTATACAAAAATCACATAGGCACAAAGCCTTACCAGGTCTTACCCATATGTATACAGTGTATACTGTCAAACAGGTTGTATACATGTGATCTTCAAACTGAAATACTTAGAATTGAGCCTGTCCACTCAGTTGCACATAACAATGTCCAGTTGTGCATAGTATGTGACCTACCATAGACAGAGGACTGGGTAAAAAATGGTGGGTGTAGGAGAATTCTCTCTGTCCCTGGCTCCTAATTGCTATAGCCCCTCTAACCCAGTTAGAAGACAGATGGCTATAGGGACTGCAAGTCACCCTGCTTCCCCCTCACATCCTCACCCCCTCAACACACTCTTTTAGAGCTTGGGGAAGCTCTGACCCATTTGGAAGTAAAATTACCTTCTTAGATAAGACTTGCCCAAACCCATATGAGCCTATGAGTGGAGAACCTGCAGAGTTCTGAAGGGTCAGAGGTGCTTCTCCAGGCCTCTCCACCATTTCCTGGATGGGGAGCCTGGGGTTCTGGTACCAAAGAACTAGGACTAGCTGCTAGGCCCTCAGACTTGACATCTGCGGACATATCATTTCTCTCCCCTTCCCAATGCTCCCTCTATTGGAGATGTGACTTAGTAGAGATTAAGATTCACATCTTTAGGGTGAGAGTAAAAGGTCTTGCAAACTCAGAAAAAAATTCTCCCACTGGCTTCTGACTTGTCCAGTCTCAGCCTCTGGTGATTCAGGGAATAATAACTTTATGTAGCTTCTCTCTAGAGAACTGGACCAAGTTGTTGCAATAATTCAGTGGTCCCTGGAGAAGGATTCCAGGAGCCATCCCATCTGTTCCATCACATACAAGGGAAGGGCAGTCATAGCCTACAGTAACACGCCCTATGGCATCTTCCAGAATGGTCCTGAGCCTTTGACCCAGATCAGAGCCCAGAGCCTGCAGAGGGAAGGGCTGCTGTCCTTGGTGCTGAAAGACAAACTCCATTTGGACAGGAGACTGGGTCAACCCAGGATGGTCCCTGTAAACCCAGCCTAATGAATTCACTTGTGTCCTGGGACTCCAAAGCTTTGAGCTCATCCTTCACTGCTCTCATAATTCAGAGAATTAATAGATCTCAAAGGAATTTGGGAGTGAACATTATCAGCTCCATTTTACAGAAGCGAAAACTGAGACGATGGGAAAATGAGTTTCCCTTTTTTTGTTTTTTGTTTGTTTTCCTTTGTTTTGAGATAGGGTCTCCATGTAGACCCGGCTGGCCTGGAACTCATTATATATACCAGGCTGGCCTTGAACTCACAGAGATCTGCCTGCCTCTGCCTCTCAAATCCTGGGACTAAAAGCATGTGCCACCATGCCCGGTTGCAGGAAAATTACTTTCTTGAGATCCTATGGAGAGCTACAGAGCCAGAGCTAGCCCTCTAGAGCACAGGGATGTGATTTTAAAAGTCTGCAATAGGGTAGTGTAACAGACTAATAGGAAGGGAACAGAAAGGCAGGAAAACTAGAGGGTGGCTGGTGTTATAGGCTAGACATTACATGGCATGAATTGGGCAGAGGTTTTGAAACAAAGGGACAGGCAGGTCTATATCCAGTGCAAAATACAGATGAACTAGAACAAGATTCTGGTGAAAGCAGATCCAGAACCCCAAAGGCTAGGCCCAGGAATTTCTCGTGACTTCCCATAGCCCAGCCCTGCAGGGAACTGAGCCAACTCACCTGGAGGCAACAGGGGTGCCCATCTGGGATCTTTTCCCAGAACAGCAATTCCGGGGCCAACACCCAGGGTGAGTTGGTTATATACATGCCTGTGGCACCAGGACATGTGCTCTGTGTCCTATTCAGGACAGAGCTCTAAGCTGGGGCATTGACATTTTAAAGACT